AGGGTGGGGTAGGGGGGGGAACAAACAGCGTGTAAAGTGAGCGAGTCAGCAGGAGCAGAGGAACACTTGGCCCCCCGGTGCACACACACTCTCACACACACACACACACACACACACACACACACACACTCCTGGACAATCTGAGGAGAGGAGCACTTGCTTTCTGGGGTATATAAAGCGCATCAGGCTTATCTGTGCACGCACTCCTGACTCCCATTTGGAGATATTTCATTAGGTCTGGCCCACACGCGTCCACAGTTCCGTCTCCAGCCGCAGGTAAGCGCGTGTACTGTGTGATATTTTTGTCATATTTGATTTGTAATATTTGGATTTTGTCTCAGTCCCAGTGTTTCTCTGGATAAAACCCGCCTTAAAAAACAAAATAAAAAAAAAAAAAAAAAAAAAAAAACGATTTAATTCCGGCGCTGAAAACAGTAGGCCGCGTGCGCGTGTACGTGTGCGTGTTGACCTATTTGGGAAAAAAAAGTCTCGTGCACGCGTGTTGGTGAGATGTGTGTGAAACATCCACCACTGTTACAGAATGTATAAAATATTATAAAAAATAAATATATAGTATATTTAAGAGAACAAAAATATATTTCCATTGAAAAAAGTGGTTACTACAATAACTGTATAAAACCATTCATGTTCCGGGGCAGATTTTTTTTTTTTTAACTCTGATTATGGATGAATCCAAGTTGTCAACACTGGCTCCACACACACACAAAGAGCCCCGCTGTTGTTTCTTAATGTTGCCGGTAGAGACCGCTAGAGCTCTACAGATGTCAACATCTGTCCGTCTGTTGTTACTGCACGGACACATGAGCTGCGGGACGAGGAGGACGAGTGTTTGTGTGAGAGTGTGTGTGTGTGTGTGTGTCCTCATGAGGACGAGGCCAGAGACGTGTGTATATCCCTATGAAAACACATCGTATTATATATATATATGTATATATATATATATGTATATATATATGTGTGTGTGTATTTTTGTGCTCAGTATAGAGAAGTTTTGAAGGGTTAAACCCCCCTCCCCGCCCCTCCCCTCCCTCTCTGCCCCCTCCCTGGTCACGAAGGTCGGCGCGATAATGAAATGGGAAGTGATTAAAAAATAATAAAGCTCTTTTTAGCAGTTCGTCTTACACACATACACACTCACACACACACACATACACACACACACACACAGGAAGCAGATTACGGCGGGTGGCACCGAGTGGCATGAAATCCAGCGTTACAAATAAACTGCTGGGTGAACAAATGAAGGCATCTCCTCGGGGCACGAGCACGCGCCCGTAATCTGGCCGTGACGTGTTCACTGATTAAAGAGGGAAAGGGGACGAATAAAAGGAGCCTTCACCCCTGGGGGGGACGG